GGAGGGTGCCGTTGTATGACCTTTTGTAAAGCTTGTCACCCTCAATGACGTAGCTTGGCGCCCTAAGTTTGGCGAGTTTGGCTCTCTCCTCGTCTTCGGGTAGTGTGCCGGAGGTGATGTAGGTTGCGATGTCAGTGATCCAGTCCTCCGGCTGGTGTTGGATGGAGAGTATAGGGCTAGCATGGATGCTTGACATGCTCAACTCCTCCATCTTCGCTATCTTGGAGATGTGCTCAGGGGTGTCGGAGCTCAGTTTGGAGAGTATGTCGGCCTCGGCGTTCTCCGCCCTTGGGATCTGAGTGATCTCGTAGGTATCGAACGCCTTGAGCAATTCCGCAGCGGCCTCCTTGTATTGCTTCATTCTCCCCTCTTTGGCCTCGTAGGAACCCTCCATCTGGCTCACTACGAGTTTGGAGTCGCATTTGATTCTGACGTGGCGTGCTTTAAGGCCAGCAGCTAGTCTGAGTCCGCTGAGAAGCGCTTCATATTCGGCCTCATTGTTGGATACTTTGAAGTTGAAGCGGATGGCGTAGTACGCTCTGAATCCTTCCGGGGAGATGAGGACGACGCCACCCCCACAAGCTTTGGTGGCCGAGGACCCGTCCGTGTAGAGGGTCCAGGCTTCGTTCGGTTCGGCTCCTGTGGTGGTAACGGCCGTCTCCCTTGCCGTGCACTCGGTGACGAAGTCAGCTAAGGCTTGCCCTTTGATGGATGGCCTCGGCTTGATCTCAATCTGGTACTGGCTCAAGAATATTGCCCACTTGATCATCCTTGGAGAGCTGGTTGGGCTCCTCATGAGGGCGCCCAACGGCTGATGCGTGAGGACGTGGACGGGGTGAGCTTGAAAATAGTGGCCCAGCTTCTTCACCGTGTGGACGATGGCCAGCACCGTCTTCTCAATGGGGGAGTACCTGAGCTCGGCCTCCCGCAAAGTCTTGCTGACGTAGAATATTGCTTTTTGCACCCCGTCATCCTCTCTGATGAGTACAGAGCTAATGGCCGACGTGTTAACCCCCAAGTAGAGGAAGAGAGTCTCGCCGGGTTGGGGCTTGGATAGGACGGGTGGGGAGGCGAGATATTGTTTCAGCTCTTCAAAGGCTTGCTGACACTCCGTCGTCCATTTGAAGCTGGTGGCCTTCCTCATTATTTGGAAAAAGGGGAGAGATTTCTCAGCGGATTTTGAGAGGAAACGGTTCAGGGCCGCGAGGCGTCCCGTCAGCCGTTGCACCTCCTTTATGTTGCGGGGTGGCTTCATGTTGATGATGGCTTGTATTTTCTCCGGGTTCACCTCGATGCCCCTTCGACTGACCAGGTACCCCAGGAATTTACCTCCCTGGACGCCGAAGGTGCACTTCTTTGGGTTGAGCCGGAGGTTGTATCTCTTCATGATCTCGAAGATGCCCCGGAGGTCGTCGGCATGGGTTGTGGATTGTTTGCTCTTGACGATCATATCTTCGACGTATGCTTCCATCGTCCGACCTAAGACTGCTCTAAAAATCCGGGCTACCATCCTTGTGTAGGTGGCGCCGGAGTTCTTGAGCCCAAAGGCCATGACGAGGTAGCAAAAAATTCCCTCCGGGGTCATAAAAGCAGTCTTCTCCGCGTCATCTTCGTGCATGGATATCTGGTGGTACCCTCTGAACGCGTCGAGGAACGACATCAACTCGCACCCCGCCGTCTCATCCACCAACTGATCAATGTTGGGGAGAGGGAATGGGTCCATTGGGCACGCCTTGTTCAAGTCAGTGTAATCAACACACATTCTGAACGTAGGCGGCTTCGGGGCGAGGACGACGTTCGCCAACCACGTGGGGTACTTCACCTCTTTTATGTGCTTGATGGAGAGCAGCATGGCCACCTCGGCCTTGACAAATTCCCTCCTGTCGGCTGAGAGGTAGCGCCTCTTCTGTTTGATGGGGGAGGAGGCCGGGTTCACCGATAGCCGATGTGTGATAACCTTTGGGCTGATGCCCGGCATGTCCTCTGGTCCCCATGCAAAGACGATGGCGTACGTTCTCAGGACAGAGAGGACGTCCCTTCGGATATCTTGAGGGAGCTGGGTCCCGATATTCAGCGTGCGTTCCGGTCGAGAGACGTCCAACGGAACCTCTTCCACGTCTCCGACCGGTTCGGCCTTTGGTGTGTCTTCTTCGGCCGAGGCGGTGGTGATAGCGTCTATCCGCTCCTCGGCCTCATTGATCTTCCTTGTGAGCTTGAGGTAGCAAGCCCTGGCTATCTTCTGATTTCCTCTGGCGTAGCCGACGCCGTCCTTAGTGGGGAACTTGAGGCATAGATGTCTCATGGAGATGATGGCCTCAAGGTCCTCCAAGGCCGGTCGTCCCCAAATCATGTTATGGGCGCTGTCCAGGTTGACGACCACGAACTCCATGTCAATCTTCGCCTGACAGGTACCGTCACCGACCACAACGGGAAGCACTATCGTGCCCTCGGCGTCGATAGAGTCCCCGGTGAAGCCGGATAACGGAGTCCGTATCGGCCGGAGCTCGGACTTCTTCAGTTTCAGTTGTCTGAAGGTGTCAACGTACATCACATTGACAGAGCTGCCAGTATCGATGTAGTTGCGGTGGATGATGTTGTTGCCAATCTCGCATTTGACGACGAGGGCGTCCCTGTGGGGCAAGGGGCCGAAGGGGAGGTCCTTGTCGGTGAAGGTGATGGCTTCCACGCTCCGTCGCTTCGGCTGAGGGGGGGCGTGGGACACCTCACCAACGTATAGGGACTGAGCCCATTTTTTCCGTTGGGTAGCCGAGTCCCCCCCTGTGTTCCCCCCGACGATGATGTGAATGTGATGCTTCTTCTGGCGGGGCTCCTCTTCGTCCTCATCTTCACTGAGGGCGCCGATCTCCCTCTTTTTCCCGGAGGATCCTTCCCCCTTTTTGCCAGGGTTAACCCAAGTGTTACTCTTGGGGGCACCCTTGACAAATTGGGAAAGTTCCCCCTGTCGGACGAGGCCGTCGATGTGCCTCTTCAAGGTGGTGCAATCCTCGGTCTTGTGGGATATCTGGCGGTGGTACTTGCAGTATGTCCCTCCTTTATGGACCGCAAATATCTCCTCCTCTGACCTGGGATCCTTCACAATGAGGCCCTGCGCCTCGGCGTGGTCAAGGACGACGCTCACCGGGTGGGTGAGGGGGATGCGTTGTGCCTCCAATTTTGGGCGCCATGAACGATCCTCTCTACGCTGTCTGCCTGGCTCCTGGTGTGCCTTCTTCGGCTGGTTCTGTCCCCTGTTGGCTGGCGTATGGTGGGGGTTGGACGAGGAGTCCTTCTTTTGTTGCTTCTCCCCACCCTTCTTCTGGTTCAGGAGCTCGTCGGCATCAGCGTGCCTATCTCCGCGTCGGAGCGCCGCGAGGTATGACCGCGGAGGCTCCGTGAACAGGCTCCGGGCGAAGTGGCTCGGCCGGAGTGCTCCGCGGAGGAAGGCCAGGAGGGTGCGTTCATCGGCTCCTTCGCATTCGTCCGCCTCCCTCGTCCAGCGATCGAGGAAGGCTCGGAGCGTCTCCTCCGATTGTTGCTTGATGGTCAGGAGATGAGCGAAATGCTTCTTCGCGCGTTTCCTCCCGGCAAAGTGGGTGAGGAAGCGTTGAGCAAGGTCCTGCCATGAGTCGATGCTTCCCTCCGGAAGGTTGTTGAACCAGTCGTACGCCGGTCCCTCCAGGGTGGATAGGAACCAGCGACACATGTACTCCTCCGAAGCGTTGGTCATCATCATATTGTTCTGATAACGGGTGAAGTGCTCCTGGGGATCAGTGCGGCCGTCATATGGCTTGATCGAGTTTCCCTTATACTTCTCCGGGATGGGAGCGGAGAGCACCCTCGCAGAGAAGGGGGTTCTGGTCCGTATCTGGATGATGGGCTCCTCGCGCCGGTCAGCCAACTCCCTTTCAAGAGCACTGACCTTGCTTAGGAGCGCGTCGTAGTTGGGATGCTGGGATGTCTGGGCCGATGCGCGCCCTGCGGCCTCTCGGGCCTCCATGTCGGCGAGGCGCTTCTCCAAGCGGGCGATGATCTCATCCCTTGGGTCTGTGTTGGCCGCCCCGCCGCCCCGAGGGGTCTGGATCCGGGCCGCGTGGGCGAGGTTGATTTGGTGGCGCGCATCGTCATCATTCAGCTTTCCTTTTCCTTTGTCTGGCCGGGGCCGGTCCGTAGTCCGGGACACGGACCCGAAGCTTTCCTTTGGCGACCCCGGTTCGCGGCCACCCAACCGACCCGCCACCCCTCCCGTAGGTACCCGACGGCTCGCGATGTCACCCAGCCTGTTGAAGGCTGAGATTTTACCGCGAGGTTGGGCCGGTGTATCCCGGGTAGGTGAGGCAGTGTGGGAATGGGTGTCCACGGCGAAGACGTCCTCGTTGTCACCGAAGAAGGTGACGCCTTGCGGACGAGGTGGCGGTGGTGGCACCGTTGCGACCTCTCCAGTTGCCGGAGTGTTATTCTCCCCTGTCTTTGCGACGAGAGTGCTGACCACGTTGGGGTCCTGAAGGATGCTCGCAACAATGGCCGATAGTGCGGCCGGGTTGATCTGGGGAGCAGCAGGGTTAGAGGCCTGCTGGCCCGAAGCGCGATCAGCATTGCGCCTGTCCTCGAGCCCGATGCGGGCGTCGGGAGCAGTCTTGTTGAGTTGGACGCGAAGGTCGGCCGCTGCGTGCTCGACTTCCTGGGCGTCCTCATCCTGGATGATAGGATCGTTGGGGACGTTGTCAGCAACGTTTCCTTGCCCTTCCTGGTTCAGTGGGGCATTCCTACCGGTGTTCTTTGACCTAGTCCTTGTCATTCTGTTGCGTCTAGTAGCGACGAGGGGTACTCACTTGATCTGTTCTAAACTCTCAACGAGAGCACCAAATGATGGAGTATTGATTCTAGAGAGAAGTGAGAGCTAGAGAGAGAAAGTGAGTAATTATATTTCTCAACTTGGAACCCCCTATAATTAGCCCCTTGGGGTCTATTTATAGGTAAAAGTGTGGATTTGGGCTCCTAGCCTTGGGCTTAGGAGGCCCATTACAATAACCATGCCTTCTTTGGGAAAATAGGGCCACTAATGGGCTGAGTACAACACTTAGTACATAAAATAGGAAAATACATTCTGTCCGGGCGAAGTTCGGACGATGCGGTCCACGGACGATGCGGTCCATGGACGATGCCGTCCAAATAAATCAGGCGATATCTTCTTTCTTGGACGCTACGTGCCTCTGGCCGATGCGGGTGTCCCGCTGGTGTCTTTTGGGCCGTTGAGTATGTGGGCCATGGGGTCCAGGCCCATATACTCTATCAGTGGCATTTTTTTATTTTTGATTTTCTTTTCCTTTTTTTTCTCCTTTTCTTTCATCTCATCCCTACAACTCTTTCTTTCTTCTCTCGTTACTTTCTTCTTCGGCGAAGCACCCAACCGGCAAACCCAAGACCTATTTTTCCTCTCTTCTTTTGCCACCCCACCATAGTCACAACACTGACCATTCCTTTCATTGGTGAACTCACCCGTAAACATGTGGAAGATAGCCCAAGACCTGTGACAAAATCGCAGCAGTCATCCTTCCGTTTCCCGGCGACATCACAGCAGCCATCATGTCGGTGCCAACTAGTTTTGCAACAAAGCAACGAATTGAATAGAACCAGACGGATGGAGAAGAAGAAGACTGATGAGCGGTGAGCTAGTGCATAACTTCGTCGGCATGCCCCGCATCGGAGAAGAAGATATGATCATCTGAGGCAAGTGTCAGCACCCATGGTCCACGTCGTTTTCAGCACCCGTCCTCCTCTGTACTTGCTGAAGTTCCGGAGATGAATAAATGGCAAGCTTCTTTAGATTGGGGTGGAGAAAAGAAAGAAGGAAAGAGGAAATAACACTCTGTAAAGATGTTGTGCAACGGGGCTTGGGCGGCAGAACAAAACCAAGCAAAAGAGAAGGGGAAAACGAAAAGGAAAAAAGAAAAAGTCTACCACGTGGACCAGCCATGTGCATAAGTTAACGTTTACCGGTTGTTTACCGGTTGAAAGACTTTATTGACTGTTTTTTTGTAGTTGGAGGATTTGATTGGATGATTTAATAGTATGAGAACTTTACTGACTTTTTCCATATAGTAGAGGGACCTATTTGACAGTTTTCCCTATTTTCTGCAAGTTTATCGGACGGAATTCCACAAACATAACGCAAGGACCAATAATGTGAGAGATAGAAGTCTGGGTGGAATAACTCGAGTCAATCCAAAACCGACACCAAACACGTGTTTGAAACTTAGAACTAAATAAAAACGACTCATCACCTACCATCACTGATTTGTTTAGTAGTTTGAGTTTCCACATTGAAATGGGAGATACCAATCATTTCAAAACAGTTTCATGCAATCCGAATCTGTAAGCAATTCAAGAAAATAAGATAGATAAACATAAAACTGAAATAAAAATTTCAAGAATACGATAGAAGAATAAGGATCATCTAGAAATAAATAAATAAAAGAGAAAATTTTAAGAGATAAAACGAGAAAGTGAAACATGATATTGTTTTGAAGTGAGATTTTTATTTAATGTTAATAACAAAACAGAAACCATAGTTCATTAACTCGATCAGACAGGTTAAAAAAGATGCATTGCAAAATTGAGATTGGTGTCAATAGTTGTGCTTAGATGCACACATTTTAGTGTACACCTTTCTTATCCTCGTGGGCATCGTTTCTTTTACACACAAAGAGTTGTTTGTTTAAGGTAACTCTGTATTTCTGGTGTCAATGGGACTATTTTTTAGAAGAGTGGTGAAAGTGAAATTAAACACATTACTATTTAATACTCCATCCGTCTCATTTTAAATGTCCCGTTTTATTATATTGGGGTGTCCTTGTTTAATTGTCCCTATTTAATTGTCCTGTGTGGTTCAAAAGCATTCTTACTTTATTCTTACTTTATCAATTATTATTAACCACATAAACCCACTTTTTTTAAAACTCGTGTCACCCTCTTTCGGAACATTTAAAAAGGGACGTAATTCAATTAAGTCAATTTAATTATATTACAAATAATGTCCGTTGTAAGTGACTTATAACGTTTGTGCAAAAAAATATAAGACGATTTTAAAAAGGGGTTATGTTTAAAATAATACTAAAAAAAGAGCTATGAACAAAAAAGAGACCTTTATTTCAATTTTCCAAAAATGAGACTAACAATGGGTTAAGAGACTATTATACCCTTATTTTAATAGAATCTCACCCATTAGTCTACAATAACGCCACAGTGACCAAAACCATTATCGTGACCAAAATTCGTCACTGACCAAAAATCATTTGTGACCAAAAATCCAAAAATCCGTCAGTGACCAAAATGATTAGTGACAAAAAATTCTACCTAGTTACCAACGTCAACCCGTCCAGTGACCAATCCGACTAGTGACCATGACCAATCCACCCAGTGACCAAAAATCATTTGTGACCAAAATTCCAAAAATCCGTCAGTGACCAAAATCATTAGTGACCAAATTTTTTACCTAGTTACCAACGTCAACCCGTCCAGTGACCAATCTGACTAGTGACCATGACTAATCCATCTAGTGACCAAAAATCATTTGTGACCAAAAATCCAAAAATCTGTCAGTGACCAAAATCATTAGTGACCAAATTTTTTACCTAGTTACCAACGTCAACCCGTCCAGTGACCAATCTGACTAGTGACCATGACCAATCCATCTAGTGACCAAAAATCATTCGTGACCAAAAATCCAAAAATCCGTCAGTGACCAAAATCATTAGTGACCAAAAATTTTACCTAGTTACCAACGTCAACCCGTCCAGTGACCAATCTGACTAGTGACCATGACCAATCCACCCAGTGACCAAAAATCATTTGGGACAGAAAATCCAAAAATCCGTCAGTTACAGTTACACGACTCGTTCAATTACAGTGACCCGACCAGTCCAGTTACAGTGACCCAAACCGGCCAGTTACAGACTTACAGTTACCTGACCCGTCTAGTTACAGTTACCCAACCCGACCCGTCCAGTTACAGTTACACGACCCGTCCAGTTACAGTTACCCAATCCGTCCAGTTACAATTACGCGACCCGTCTAGTTACAGTTACCGGACCTGTCGAGTTACAGTTACCTCACCCGTCCAGTTACAGTTACCTGACCTGTCCAGTTAAAGTTACAGTTACTCGACCCGTCCAGTTACAGTTACACGACTCATCCAATTACAATTATCTGATCCGTCCAGTTACAGTTACCCGATTCGTCCAATTACGAAAATCTGTCAGTGACCAAAATCCTCAAAATCATTAGTGACCAAAAATTCAAAATTCACCCGTGACCAAATCCAAAATTCATCAGTGACCAAAATCATTAATTACCAAAAATTCGGCCCAATAACATAGTGACTTCTGTCCGCTCAATTATCTAACCTAATGAGTTACAGTTACACAATCTCATTAGTTACAATTTTGCGATCCAATTATTTACGGTCATTAGAGCCTATCAGTTACAGTTACATAATCCGATCATTATCATCCGATCATTACCGCTACCCGACATGCTAGTGATCGCCGCCGACCACCGTCTTTGGCCATCACCGGAGACCGCCGCCGGTGACCACCAAATTTCCGGCGTCCAGACTCCACCGCCTAGGGACTGCAGTTGCCCCGCACCAACCCCTATCACTTTCCAACCCCAACCTAGATCCAGTCCAGTGACCGCACCAGCCCCCAATCTATCCCCATCCGGTCATCCCCTCTCAATCCGATATGATCGAAGATGATCATATCCACTCCGACTTCATTCAAAATCCACAGAGGCGCATGGCTTCATCCCGGAATAGATCACCGTCAACTTCAATCGTTGTCACCGGAGCAAAATATTCCGGATCTGAAACCTAGTAATCGGGAACCTTAGAGGTGAACTTCCAAGAAACAGTCGACGAAGATCTGGGAATGAAAGTTTGCACCTGATTTGAAGTACATCGAAGCCGCGTTAGAAGAACAAGACAACGTCGAGCAACAATGGTGAACTTCGAGAGACGGATTTGAACTTGATTACAACGGTGATGGAGTGTGAGGGTGGAGCGGCGGGTGAAGATGGGTTACGGTGGAGTGGTGGTATAGCAGAGAATCGTATCTTCTTCTCTGCAATTTTGGAATTGAGAGAGTATAGAAGAAGGGTTTGGCTGCGGGAAATCGTTTGGGGAAGGGTAACTTGGTCCGTTTGCTTCAATTGAGGTCTTATTTGTGTCCAATTGGATAAGTGGTCGTAGTTATGTCTTTCAAGACTGTACAAGTGTTATTCGGGTCATTCTTTCTTTTAAAAAGTGTCCAGATTAGTTGAACTGAAATCCTATGAACTTTCTACTTCTGACTTTCTGAGTAGTTATATCTGGAATCTCTCCACTGATTCTCGTAGCCCGGAAACACCGGTTAATTTTATCCACCGCAACAGTTACCAATTTCATTCAATTCACTAGTTGTGAAGACACCAATGACTGGAGACGGCGGTGGATGGAGGGGAATGTACAGTTTCGGCCGCCGCATCCTGGCGGGGCGGTGGTTCATGGTCTTCAGCTGCCTGCTGATCCTGTCGGTCGCCGGCGGAACCTACATATTCGGGCTTTACTCCGACGAGATCAAGTCAACCTTAGGGTACGACCAGACCACCCTAAACCTGGTTAGTTTCTTCAAGGAGTTAGGAGCCAACATCGGGATCATTTCCGGCCTGATTAACGAGGTAGCCCCACCATCGATCCTCCTGCTCCTCGGCGCTGTAATGAATTTCTCCGGCTACTTCGTCATATGGCTCGCCGTCACCGGCCGTATAGCCAACCCTCAAGTCTGGTGGATGTGTCTGTGCATCTGTATAGGTGCGAATTCTCAGACATTCGCCAATACGGGTGCCCTAGTCAGCTGCGTTAAGAATTTCCCCGAATCTCGGGGCATAGTGATCGGCCTCATGAAGGGCTATGTTGGGCTCAGTGGGGCAATCATCACACAGGTATACCATGCTTTGTATGGAAACGATGCGAAATCTTTGATCTTTCTTATTGCCTGGCTTCCGGCCATCATTTCGGCCATTTTCCTCCCAACTGTTAGAGTCATCAATGGAAATAAGAATAGTAATGATAATCTTAGACAGAGAAGTGAGCTTAAGTTCTTTTACAATCTGTTATTCATGTCTTTCGGTTTGGCTGGGGTTCTTATGGCTTTGATTATCATCCAAAGCCGGGTCACATTTACCAGGACAGACTATGTGATTAGTGTCTCTTTGATTGCTCTTTGTCTGATTTCTCCGATAACCCTTGTCATAAGAGAGGAGACGAAGCTCGGGAAGAGCAAGAAGCAATTGCTTGATGATCCTGCAACCAAAGAACCGGTTCAAGATGCGGTAAATAATAGTAGTAGTAATTGTTATAGTACTCCTACAGAAAGGAATAATGAGGAAGTGAAGTGGTATAAGAATGTGTTTAGCCCGCCCGAAAGGGGAGATGACTACACAATTTTGCAAGCCGTTTTGAGTATTGACATGTTGATTCTTTTCATGGCCACCATCACGGGAGCGGGAGGAACGTTGACGGCCATAGACAATCTAGGACAGATTGGGAAGTCATTGGGTTATCCGAACAAAAGCATAACCACATTTGTGTCGCTCGTCAGCATTTGGGGTTACCTAGGACGAGTGGCGTCCGGTTTCGCTTCAGAGATTTTCTTGGCGAACTACAAATTCCCGCGGCCACTAATGCTCACATTAGTGCTCCTCCTTTCCTGCACTGGTCATCTTCTGATTGCTTTCGGGGTTCCCAACACCCTTTACATCGCCTCGGTGCTGATCGGGTTGTGCTTTGGAGCTCTGTGGCCGTTGATATTTTCTATAATATCTGAACTGTTTGGGCTGAAGCACTACTCAACGTTGCTCAACTTTGGCGGTGCGGCTAGCCCAGTCGGGGCGTATATATTCAATGTCAAAGTCGCAGGCGCTCTGTATGACAATGAGGGTATGAAGCAGTTGGTTGCCAAGGGGCTGATTAGAAAGCCCGGGGAGGATCTGGTGTGCAATGGTGTGGAGTGTTTCAGGCTAGCTTTTATCATTATTGCAGCCTCTACATTTGCGGGTTGCCTGGTTTCTTTGGTTTTGGTAGCCAGAACAAGAAAGTTCTACAAAAGCGATATCTACAAAAAGTTCAGGGAGAAGGCAATGGTAGCATAGGACTTGCAAAAGTATTGGGGCAGAAGAGGAGACTCAATTTAGTGCCTGTTCACTTATGTTATAGGAGTTTAGGTTCAATTATACTTGAATATACATGGCTTGTAGAAATGATGCTTTTATACGTAGTACTTGATGTCTCTAGTTCTCCAGATGCTTGTAGATTTTCGTTTTCATCAGTCCTGTCTGTAGTTTTGTTAGAATGCATATTGTAAAAAGTAAAAGGGGTGAGGCTCAAATTGGACACTATAGTTTCATGAGAATCTCATATTGGACATTAAGGTTTCAAATGAATCAAATTGGATACTATGGTTACATATGTATCCCATATTGAACACTGAAGTTTCATAATTCATAGTTTTTGAACACTCACGAATTGAGTTATTTTTATTTTTTAGGTATATAAAACCAAGAGAAGAATGAGAATACTTATAGCTTTCAAGGTGAAATTTTTGTGTGGGCATCTGAAAATGATCAGAAACGTAAAATTGATCCATTTGAAACTTTAGTGTCCTATATGAGATACATAAGTAACCACAGTGTCCGATTTGATCATTTTGAAACCTTAATATCCAATATGAAATCCGATTTGATCATTTTGAAACCTTAATATCCAATATGAAATTCTGAGACAACCATACTCCAATTTGGCCCTTATCCCAAAGTAAAAACAAGAGGTTTTGCAATTTGCTTTGGGAGAATTTCTGTTTCATAATACACCTATAAAAAGAAAGTTTGATTTGCACTTGCCTTAGTCTTAACGTTCATGTGCGACTAATATTGAAGTTATTTCTCTTACTGCTATTAAAGCATTCTAATTTTGATCCACGACTATGGATTGTTGTAGCTTATGGTCCTTCGCAATGGCAGACCTAGAAATTTTTTCAAGGGGCGCAGGCACATGGAGGAACGGGTCAAGGATTTTGTCTACTCTACACAGATTATGTTTTAACTGCAAATGGATTACTAGTTTCAATTTCAAACAATAATTTTCAACTTTTTCAAAAATAAAACATAATTTTGGATTATTAATTAGTAATGCCTACACCGTTTTCAATTTAAGTTTTGACTTCCAGTTATTTATCATGCAAATCAATTTGGTCTAATCTTAGTAGAGTCAGTTCACTACAATTGAAGTTTACTTATCCTCTTCTTCTACACAAATCTGTTTAATAATACGATTTCATAAATTGAAATAATTTTATTCTATGGCGTTGTAAAAAATCGGGTGTCGCATTAATTTATCAAGAATTGACATATTTTGTCGTGATTTTATGTTAATTTGTTCATGGAAAAATCATGACTCTAACTTGACAAGGATAAGCTAATATTGAAACGATTTTCTCGTTGAGATTTTATGTTAATTTGTTCATGGAAAAATCATGACTCTCACTTGACAAGGATAAGCTAATATTGATATGATTTTCTCGTTGAGATATTTGGAAGTTAACATAGAGACGTGAAAAATAATTATATAGGTCTTTGATATAAATCATTGTTGAACTCGTTATTTCCCTTACAATCGTAGTGTTTGATTTCGTTATTCAATATTACTTTTGTTAAAAATTTGAGTACATTTTGAATTATTGAGCATGAACTCTTAACAAGCATAAACTAGCTAGACTTCTACATTCGTTCAATTGTACAAATTTATTGAGTTTGATTATTAAGTGCTCCAATCAAACATTGAACGTCTATCGAGCCGAAACCAGACCCCATTTACATAGCTCGTTGTGCTCGCACTCAAACTAAAACACCATAATTACCTAAAGAGTCGAACTTGAGGTCCAGATATTTGGACTTTGCTCGAGTCGTTAAAAGCCACAACTAAAATCAATATATGTTGCTTTAGATTGTTTTATTCAGGCAACATTTGTAACCAAAATGATCCTTGTGATTTAAATGTTTTGAATTACAATTTACTTCTCCTCTTCAACTACTTCAATGTTTAATTTTAAGCGATTTCTATGAGATAAACACTCACAAGAAAACTTGTATCGTTCAACTTGAACAGGAGGGATATTAATTTTCAGGATCTCATGCCCCTAGGTCTTCCACTAGTCAGTAAAATTAAACCTGAACTTGTACAAAATTGATCGAATAAGAGGCTAAAAAAGTTTATAGTTAGGCGCCAAAATGAGGCGTGACCAAATTGTTGATACCAAAACTAGAATTAGTTCATTAAACACGTATGTGATGTACGGATACGCATTCAAAGATGGTGAACGTATTTTAGGATGGCATGCAGGAAGAAATTAAAGTGGGTTGGTACTTCAATTTGGTTGAGGCAATAGTCGATTATCTTGCGATCGATTTGTTAATTTTTCCTTTTATTATTGCAATTATTTGCAGCACTTCGTTTTCTCCGGAGTGTGAATGGTTTTGCATCTTACATGGAATCCTAGAAGAAAGTAATATAAATAAACAAATGGATGAGATTTTTTTTGGAAGAAAATAAATGGACTCGATGAAAACTATTGTATTTGATAGTAAAAATTGATGGCATTTGACGGCTTCTAAAAAAGTACTCCATACAAGTTAGTACTAGGGAGTATTTGGTAAGAAATAGCAGTTTAATAACACTCATTTCAATATTCAAGCATTCCAGTCCAGCTGATTGTGAGGTTACCATGTCTAGTGAGAGGTTCGAGTTCGAGTAAAAAAAACACTCATTTCAAATTTTTAAACTTTTACACACTTCCAAAAAGTGAATTGAAACTAAATATGGAGTAATTACTACAATAACATAATACGGTGTAGTAAATAAAAATATTGCAAAATTTTAAAGATCACTTTAGATGGAACACGCCTTAAACACATCAATATATATAGTCTTAGGATGTTTTCTTTTGGATTGTTTTCAGTTCCTGATCAGACCAGATCAGATTAGACCAGACCAGACTTGACTTCCGTAGTTATAAAATACACAGAGACCAGACGTTTACCAGACCAGACCAGTTCAGATCAAACCAGACCAGACCAGCAAATTTCAGTCCAAAAGAAAATATCCTTACTTCACAAAATTAGATGTGCTCAGGCTTAAAAGTTTTTAATTGAGTGAAGCTATCCTTATCTGTTAATTTGTCTGGCGTCCTGTTTGAGTCTTTGAGATCTATAGGGAACTTGTGATATGCTCAATTTACAAGTTTTTGATAGTCAAATACGTCGACCTCTTAAAATGTACAAAAATGTTGCTGGTACTCATCCTTATACCCACTTTTATACCAATCATGTTTGTGTAAGGATTTTTTTGTCCGTGAATCCAACAGACAAAATATGTCTGTTCAAATTTTACATAGACAAAATAAGACATATTTCATTTGTGAATCAGATTCATAGACAAAAAATAACTTGACAGACATGATAAGTATAAGGTGAATATAAGGATGAATATAACGAGAATTAAAATGTACTCTCACCCACTAGAGATATCCGCAGACCATTTTTTTCAGTCATCAAATTTTTGTCTCGTTTTTTGTACAATATATGGATATAATCTTTTTTTTATCATAAAACAGGGACCGTTATATTAAAATCGAGAAACATAAAAGACAACCTTCAGATGAGATTTACAGATCCAATCGTGAACCCTAGGAGTAAACTTAGAGGTTAGACACCTCATACAAAGCAATATGACTCGCTAAACCTGAAACGAGCAAATTTAAGCCTAAAACGATTGGAACCGAAACTCTACCTATCAAAAGAACTCCAAAAATCCAAACATTCAAACCAAATCTACAGATCTACTCGGACTAAAACAGAAACAATTGCTACTAAAGAGAAAATAATACTGAAATAAAATCTTTCCACAAAGTTCTTCCTCGTATGGAGGTGGTTCCGGAGGAGGACGAACTCCTGTAATATGGATGAATATCAACTCCACCACCGTCAGAATGACCGACCAAGGCTTCACAATCCAGCCTCGATACAACCTCCCAGTTGCACCTCGTTCATCCACTAATACTCTCTCCTCCAACGTAGTTGCATTCCCAAGCGTTAGAACACTTAAAGTTAGTATAATCTGCCAATCCAACCCTATATTAGTAGGAACAATGGAAAATCTGAACTCCTACAAGGAGGGAAGCCGACCACTAGGGTCCCTCTCTCTAGAGAGAAGAGATATGCGATTGTAATATATAGATATAATATTTAATAAAATCCTTTACATATTGAAGTTTCTTTTTCTTTTTGCTTGAATCTGGTGTAGGATTTACATACAGCAGATGTGAACACATTTCCAAAACACAACTTTTTAACAAAGTCAATACTTCGCAGCAGATGTGAACTCATTTCCAAAACACAACTTTTTAACAAAGTCAATACTTCGTTTTTGTCATTCTTGTATGCAAATATTACTCGTATTCAATTACTTCAAGCAATAAATCGTTCTTTATAAAATTCCTTGATAAGATAAGACTAAAATATACTCCGTATGTATATTCCTCCACTCGAGAGGATAACTCCAATTCAAGGCGTGCCAATAATGCAATATGATTAGGGATTTGTCCACCTATCAATCAAGAAATGGAAAGGGCCGACAACTTCATCTTCCACTTCCAAAGCCTCATACTCCGTAAAAGTTTGGTTAATTGTGTGAATGAGCAGCTGCAAAATACCATTACTGTACTTTAAATTGCGAGGATGATGTACTCATAAAAATTTACTATATTTTCTTTTTTGACAAGTCTTTTCTTTAAAAATATTCAATTACTCTTATTTTTTATACTACTACCTTCATCTCAGAATTATCTTCACATTTACTATTCCCATGAGCAACTCAAATTACTCTTAAACTTTTACTTTATATATCAAATTTAAATTTTCTTGATCGGATTTTGTAGCGATTATAATGTAATTTCTGAACATGTAAATTTATTTACTAAAAATATTCCGAGTGTGAATATAGATCAAGTTGCTTTATCATCAGTCAAACATCGAAAACCGAAATATGAAGATAAATATAGGAGTATTTTTTTTATCTTCTCTATCTTATTTTTTCACCTTTTATTCTATCTTTTCTAGATTATTCTTATCCCTATTAATTCCCCCTTAAATATTTGTTGAAGTCAGTCCAAGAAATCTTCCCTATAATTATTTTTTCACCTTTCATAATATTATACTCCGTAACATTTTATTTCAACATGTCATATTTGACAAAAAGATGACATGTTGGAATAAAATGTTATTCCATAAAAAATGTGAAGTATGAACTATGACCTATCGAATTAAAATTTTATTGATAGGT